CCCCAAAACCCCAAAACCCCAAAACCCCAAAACCCCAAAACCCCAAAACCCCTTTGAGATTATAGTAAATTGATTATAATATTAACAAATTATGAAGAGATCAGTACTAGCCTTAGTAGAGCTAATAGTCATATTGGCTTTCATAACCCTCACTCAATCAGCCATAGCCGACTGAGACGCCTACTATGCGGACCATGGAGCCTCATGGGTGAATGTTTTTGATAACTGCACTGATGATGTTAGTCAGCAATCCCCAGTTGACCTCCAGGTATCAGATAACATTTGGAAAGACTTCGTGTTTCTTACTGCTTACGCTCCCACTAAACCAACCTTTATGGGACTTGAGGATTGTGTCTACAAAGTCCGTGCAGAGAATATTGGAGTTGTAACCACTAATGATGTGTATGCTCTCCCTAAGCTTTATAAATTTGAAGCCCAGGAAATTGAGTTCCATGCCCCCTCAGAGCACTTAATTAAAGGAAAGAGAGCTGCCCTTGAGATGCAGATTTACCATAAAGACGTATTTGGAAAATCAAAATCTAAGAATGCAATGGTTGTCAGTGTACTCTTTGATACAGTTGACAAGGACGGAGATGATTTCTTTACTTTCCTTGACGGCAAATCAGACCTTGATGTCTCTAAAATCCTCCCAATCAATTTCATGATGCATAGCAATGTGTTCGGTTATCTCGGTACTCAGACCAAAGAAGGGTGTGCCACAGGAGTAGGATGGTATATTTCTCCAGAAATTAAGAAAATCTCAAAGCAAGATTTTGAGACTATCACCTCAAAGTTCACCAAAAAAGGGAACTACAGAGATGCCTTCAGCATAAGAGAGAAGAGACTTTTCAGTCATCCACCGCTGTTCAAATAATTTGATTCATTTCCTATCCTTGTGAATAGAAACATCTTTTTACCCAAAATAGTTGTCAATGTTGCGATGATTTCAATTTCGGCACTCAATAAAGGGGTTTTGGGGTTTTGGGGTTTTGGGGTTTTGGGG